ACTGGTTGAAGGTAACTTTGTAGATTGGATCTTGGTAAAATTAGAAGATTTAAGAAAATTGGGGCACCTGGCTGGCTCTTGGAGTTGTGCAACTCTTGATGTTGGAGTTGTGAGTTTGAGCCCCATTTTGGGTGTGGGGATTACTTAAAAATAAAATCTTTAAAAATATATATATATATTTTAGCTTGATTCCATTAACTTTCATGGCATATTCTTCTCTCATCCTGAAAATTGTATCTTAGGAGATAGATTTGAAAATCTCCTCCCTTTCCATCCCCACCCACATGCACACACATGAAAGTGATCTTGGAAAGAAATGTTAAGATTTTACACAAGTAAGCCTTTAAACTATGGCCTTGTATTTTCCCTGTCAGAATGCTGAGTCTACTATTAGAGGTGGTGACTCAACAATCAAATAAAATAACATTGCTCTGTATGTTAATTTGCTTATTTTGCCATGACAATACCACAGACTGGATGGCTTAAAAACAAGAGAAATTTATTTTCTCACAGTTCACAAGGCTGGAAAACCCAAGATCAAGGTCCAGCAGGGTTCAATTTCGGTGAGGATTGTCTTCCTGGTGTGCAGATGGTTGCCTTCTCTTTGTGTCCTTATATGTCCTTTCCTCCTTTGTGTGGAGAGAGACAGAGTGAGCTCTCAGCTGTCTTTTCTTATAAGGACGCTAATCCTGTTAGATCAGGTCCCCACCCATATGAACTCATTTAACCTTAATTGATTCCTTAAGGGTCCATCTCCAAATACAGCCACACTGAGGATTAGGGCTTTAACATGAGAATATTAGAGGGACACAAACATTGAATCCATAACACTATATTAGCAACTCCTGCATTTTTAATGGGATATTAGATTCTTTATGGATATATGGAAAATTTTTGTTTGTTTTGCTCTCTTTATAGGACTTGCAGTATTTTTTTGAGGTATAATTGACATACAGCATTATATTTTAAGTGTGCAATGTAACGATTTGATATTTGTATATATTGCAAAAAGATCACTAGTTAACATCCATCACCATACATAGTTACAACATTTTTTTCTTGTCATGAGAATTTTTAAGATTTACTCTCGGCAGCTTTCAAATATGCAGTATGGTATTATTAACTATAGTCATCAAGCTGTACGTTACATCTGCATGACTTATTTATTTCATAACTGGAAGTTTATACCTTTTGATCCCCTTCATCCTTTTTGCCTAACCCTCCACCCCCAGCCCCTGGCCAACTATCAGTTTATTCTCTATATCTATGAGCTTTATTTTTACCCCTTTTAGATTCCACATATAAGTGAGATCATTATGGCATGTGTCTTTCTCTTTCTGACTTATTTCACTTAGATAATGCCTCAGGGTCCATCCATGTTGTCACAAATGTTGAGATCTTGTCCTTTTTGATGGTTGAATAATATTCTGTTCTATACATATACTACATCTTCTTTATCCATTCATCCATCAGTGGACAGGTTGTCTCCATGTCCTGGATGCATGTGCATCTTTCTGAGGTAGCGATTTTTTCTTTGGATAAATACTTAGAAGTGGAATTGCTGGATTATATGTTATTTTATGTTTAAGTTTTTGAGAAACCTCCAATCTGTTTTCCATAGTGGCTGCACCAGTTTATATTCCGTCAGTACAAAGGGTTCCTTTTTCTCTATATCCTCATCAAAATTTGTTATTTCTTTTTGATAATAGCCATTCTAATAGGTATGAAGTGATATCTCATGTGCTTATTTGTCATATGTATGTATTCTTTGGAAAAAATCTCTGTTCATATCTTCTGCCTATTTTTTTAATTGGAGGTTTGGTTTTTGTTGATTACTTATATGAGTTCATTATATATTTTGGATATTACCCCTTTAGTAGATATATGATTTGCAAGTATTTTCTCCTCTACGGTAGGTTGCCTTTTCATTTTGTTGATGGTTTTCTTTGCTTGCACAGACTTTTTAGTTTGTTGTTGTCCTACTTGGTTTTTTGTTTTTTTGCTTTTGTTGTCTTTGCTTTTGGTGTCAAGCTTGCAATATTATCAATAAATTGAAAGGCTTTTTTTTTTCCCACTTGAAAGTAGTTTCAGTGTAGTATTGTTCATTTATCTCTAATCAGACTGTCTGGATTAATATTTTAATTAAAGGACGCTGGTAATAATATCTAAGTAAATGGTACTTTCCAGATTACTTCTGTAAAAGTGAAGTTAGATTAGTTTATCAGGCATTCTGACTTGGAAGATTCATGAAAGCAAATAAACATGGTGTCAAACTCACTACCTTTATTTGCAAGAATTTGTACTGAAAAGATATGCACTTAAACACAACTGCTAATGTATGTAAGAAGATACTAGAAATGTAATGAATCAAGAGTCTGTCTGGAATCTTATTGTGAAGCTTTTGAAAAAAGATTTCTTACCCCCACCCCAACCTAATCATGGAAGGAGGAACATCTCATAAATAGGAGCTGAGGGGACTTTGACTGAGACATCTGTCACTTTATTCATTGCCACGATTAATTCAGTTGCTGTGACTACCTATGTAGATATTTCCTCTTTCAGTTACTGCTCTCATATTTCCTTTGAGTTCATTTCATTAAACAGTTCACTTTCCTCCTAGAGAGGTAGAATATTCTGTTGAAGCACATGTATACAAATATGTTTAATCTCTTGATAGACCCCTCATTTGTAGTTAAGACTAGTTGTTTGTAATTGTCAGCTATCAATTATCGGTGTCCCCATTAGTTAAGTTTAGAAACCTGCAAAACAATGGAAATCTGGGAAAAGCAAAACTTCAGTACCTTCTCTGATTATAGGAGTCATTGAGGGGAACAGCAACCTGTGCTGAAGCAACACTAGAAAATGGTGGGGTTTTCCCCCCTGATTTCTCAAACCACTGTTTTGAGAGACCCTGACTCTTTTTTTTCATAATCAGATTGTATACAGTTTAAGAAATTCTAACAGTACATAAGCTTAAATAGGTCATAAATTCAAACAACATGAAAATAGTATTTTCTTTGGAATATGAACTTTCATATTTTTTGCCACTCATACATAACCAAAATGGACAATTAAATTAGCAGCATAGAGAACTGTACAATATCCAAAAAAGCCATTCTAAATTTAGAGATCAAGTATAACAAAGTTTAGAAATAATAATTTTAATGCTAATCCATTTGAATATAATAGAGTTGGTATGATGTACATGTTATTGTTTATCCTGGTCAGGAAGTCAGGACAAATCGCTTCAATCTAGCCTAAGCAAAGCGAATACAACTGATTGTAAAGTTGATTAAGGCAGGGACCCTCTCTCTGCCATCCATATCTTCTCCCATCTTTTAGTTTTGTCTTTCTCTCTCTCATACTCTCCTTTTGTCTTTTCAGTTTTACAGACTTTTATATTTTCTCATATTCTTTACCCTTGTGTGCCTATGTCTGAAAACATCTACCTTCATTCTTTATGGATTTTTAGTTCAAGAGCACCATGAATTTAGAATCCCTTTGTACCTAGAGAGACAATTTGATTGTCTCAGCTGTTCCCCCCTCCCCCCCAGCAGCTGTGACCAGTGGGTAGTTAAATAGTGGCTTACCTTTTTACTCAGCACATCTATGAGATCAGACTCTATAAAACAGGTGGTATGACTGATTATTTGCATCTACAAAATATACTTTAGGAAATAGCAATAGGTAATCGAGTGCCTTTTCTTTTGGTAGGAGGGCATGTACTTAAGTTTCCTAGTCATTCTGGAGCTTTCCATTACTTGGATAATTTAATGTTGTCTGTTAATAGTGTCCAAATAGGCTCTAACTAAGTGCTTTTTTCTCCCATATTATTTGTCTCAGTTTTTACCAAAGGACTTACAGAACCATGACTTTTTGGTAAAATAATGTTCAAATATAATTATCTTAAGTATTTAGGTCTTATGGAGGAAGTGGTATTGCGTAGTAGTTAAAAACTGGGACTCTTGAGTCAGAATAATCCTAGCTTGACCACATAGGACTCTATCCACTCTCTGAGCTTTTTAATTAATTAGTTAATTAATTGTTTTATCTGTGAAATAGCAATAACAATACTTTTTACCTTAAGGATTGTTATGAAGATGAAATTACGTAATCCATATAAAAAGCATTAGTGCAATGTCTGTCACACAATAAGTGTTCAGTTAGTGTTGGCTCTTACTATCTTTTTTCAGTGAAAAGCTCATTAGTCATCTCATTTACATAACTGCTTATCTGTCCAGTGATCGTTGCCTCAACTGCCTAAAAGATTCAGTGTAGGTATAAGATGTAAATTTAGCTATTTGACCTTAAAAGCTACGTTTTAACAGCTTTATTAAGGTCTAATTGACCTACAGCAAACTATACATATTAAAATATACACTTTGATAAGTTTATACTACAATTTATGTATTCATTTACCTGTTGACATTTAGGATGTTTCCTGGTTTTTGGCTGTTACAAATAAAGCCACTGTGGATATTCACACACAAGTCTTTGTGTGGATAGATGTTTTTGTTTCTCTTAGGTAATTACCTAGTTGTAGAATGACTGGATCTGATGGTAGGTATATGTTTACCTTTTTTAAAAAAACTACCAAACTGTTTTCCAAAGTGGTTGTCCTGTTTTACATCCTTACTAGCAGTGTGTGTCAGTTCTCTTCCACATTCTTGTCAGCACTAAATGGCAGGTCAAAAAGCTATTTTTAAAGTTATTACTCTTTCATATCCTTCTTTTATGTTGTTGTTCTTTTCTTTTATGTTGTTTTAAATACATATATTACATAAGGATTATTTGGAAAAAGTACAAAATATGCCGGGTAGCTAAAGATCTTTAACTTCAAATTTAAAAACTATTTGGAATTGTACTTTAATCTCTTTACTGGGAAGTTAACAGATGGTTTGCTAAAAATATTGGATAATTGGGGGAGATACAGTTCTTTAAGAAGCTAATTTTCTAATATGTGTACCTGTTTTATGTGTGTATTTTCTTTCCTTTGGTAGAGTTTTCCAGAAAAGGACCTTCTGCACTGTCCATCTAAGGATGCAATTGAAGCTCATTTTATGTCTTGTGTGAAAGAAGCTGATGCATTAAAGCATAAAAGTCAAGTAATCAATGAAATGCAGAAAAAAGATCATAAGCAGCTCTGGATGGGATTACAAAATGGTAAATATAGCAGTTTAACTTCCGACTACCACTTTATAAAGTATGAAATAACTGTAATCCTGTGAGTAATTGGTACATCTTAGAATTGGTGGTACCAGTTTAAATTCCAGCCTCTACACACAAATTTGCAAAGAAGCTGCCTTTAGTCATCCCTTACATTGTACTCTTCCAACATCCTTCTCTTTATGGATTTTTTAGCATTAGAATTGCTTTGCCCATAACATCAGACGGTATAAACTTCCTGTGTTTAGCTTCTGGAGAAAGTGCCCTTATTGCTAGTCATGATCTTTCTGGAATTACAACTGAGTACCTTGTGTGTGTACCAAAGTACCTCCCCTTGGATAGGGCACAAACTCCAACCCCTGCTTTCTCAGAATAGTTAAGACTTGCTTTGTACTTGGATTCTGTCTCTCCTGGCTGGGATTTAGAAGATACACTCAAGGGAAAAGTTGAGAGGAATCTGCAGCTCACCTCTGTATTCTCCATCTTTTAGAGATCATAGCTCCTTAATCTTGCCTGCATTGATTGTCTTCCAATGCCTTCAACACAGTTGTCTTACATACAGGTAGCCATTGTTTTACATGGGTCCGGTATGCATGAATTTCAGGTAACATGCTTTAGTTAAATAATACCAGGTCCTTAACAGTATGGTTCAAGTTTCACTTGCTACTGTATATTAACTGAAATTACATAAAGTACAAACTGTATTGCTAGCTCTTTAGTCTGTGAGTCATTTAACAACAGATATGCATCATGATTAAAGACCAGTCACATCACTTCTTTCAGTGTCTGTCAGTTAATCATCATTACTCATCTGTTATTTAGTTTACCCACAGACAGCAAAGCATGTGGTTGTATTGCCTCCTTGTCTTCAGTGGTAAGTTCACATAACATTTTATAAAAGTACATAATTGAAAGAGGGAATTGGCCAAGAAAGATGAAAGTATGGCAAAGAAACAAAAAGTAATAATGCTGACAGCGGCATTTTACTGGAATAATGGAATTACAGAAGAAACAGCTGACTGTGGGAATGTTGACACTGTCACCTTTTGAGAGACTAGATATGCAGCCACAGGAACTTAGCGAAGGTGAACTTTTCCACATAAGTGAGGTAGGCGGTTGTGACGAAAAGGGTGAGTTTATCCCAGAGAAAGTGATGCTGGCAAAAAACTTAGCATTAAAGGATCTCTCAGAGATATTTCATGACATCAGAAGTGCGAATGATAACATGTTTGGAAGTTGATCCGGACTTAGAAAAGAATATGACAGTTCGGCAAGGTTTAGGAAAGATGCTTCCTTGTAGGGTATGTGTCAAGAAAGCAAGCACGATTGAAACCGTGCTTCAAGTTTTTACAGAGCAATAAATAAAGCACTTGCATTCTTAGCATTTCTAATGTTTTAAATTACAGTGTACTAAATACATTAGTTTTAGTTACTTTATTCATTTTCTTATACATTTATAACAGAGTTTTTAATGTTTGGACAGTTTTTAAAGATCACACCATTGATTATTAAGATCACTTTGCATGGTTTCATGATCACTTTTCCAGTCCTGCACATCTGTATAAAGCAAGGACTGCCTGTGTTTTATCCATCTTTTATAGTTGTTTTTGGATAGAAAATTAGTTCAATATAAGCTGAACTTTCATGGCAATAACTAGAATAAAGTAGAAGACCCACCTTCTCCCCCAAGCCCCCCCAGAAAAAAAAAACCATAATTTTAAAAAATGTGATCCATTTTTATCTTTTGGACTATATTATTACCATATCAAAGAGGTGTTTGTGGTATTTAGTATTTGTTAAAGTTTCATTATGCAAAACGGCATTATCTGAGACTTCAGTAATGTAAAAGGTACATATTTTATGACACTGTTACTCTAAATGTTCTCATTTCTTTTAAGTCTCTTAGATTTGAGTTACATGGAGTTGCTCCTTAGTTTTTTTTTTTTTTTTTAATTTGTCAGAGAGAGACAGCGAGAGAGGGAACACAAGCAGGGGGAGTAGGAGAGGGAGAAGCAGGCTTCCTGCGGAGCAGGGAGCCCGATGCGGGGCTCGATCCCAGGACACTGGGATCATGACCTGAGCCAAAGGCAGACGCCCAACGACTGAGCCACCCAGGTGCCCCGAGTTGCCCCTTAGTTTTATATTTGGTCTGGTTAGATTGCAAGCTCTGCAAAGGCAGGCCTCTTCTTTTATCTTACTGAGTATACAAATTCCTATTTAAATAATTAAAAGAGTTTACGACCCTTTAAGAAGGTGTACTTTTTCCTTTTTCTTGCTGGCTGAAGATGAACTGAAATTTTAGGAGACTTGTGAATAAGAAGATAACCTAAATGGAAGAAGGCCAAATCTTACCAAGAAAGCAGGGATCTAAGAATAATTTGGCTTCAGAATTGAAGTAAATAATTTTAATGGGTATTTAAGTAGGTGTTCTTGAAATCTTTTGTGAATGTGGTGAGTCTGCTACAGGGAGCTCTGGGATTCAGCAGAGGATTCTAAAAATGATTAAAATATTCACTTGGGGCATTGGAAGCGTGGGCGTGGTGGGTGGTGGTTAAGAGTTGTTTAGGGACACCTGGGTGGCGCAGTCGGTTAAGCATCTGACTTGGTTTCAGCTCAGGTTGTGATCTTGAGATTCTCTCTCCCTCTCCCTCTGCCCCTCTTGCTCATGCTCTCTCTCTCTCAAATAAATAAATAAATCTTGGGGGAAAAAAAAGTTTAGTCTCAGCTCTGCTAGCAGCTCCATAGGGCAACTCACTCAATCCCTTTGAGCTTCAGTTTCTTTATATGTAAAACAAGAGAGTATCTGTTATGTTCTTTTATAGGTGGAGGCTTTAACGAAACACTAACACAGTTTATGTGAAAGTGTGTGAAAGGAGGTAAAGCTGTCTCGATAAAAAGAATTGTTGAGAAGTCACTTTGAGACCCTAGAATAGGGGTTGGCAAACTGTGGTCATGGGCCAGCCACCTGTTTTTGTGAATAGATATTTATTAGAACCCTTTCACACCCATTTATTTGTGTATTGTCTGGGACTGCTTTCATGCTACAACAGCTGAGTTAAATAGTTCTGACAGAGACCATGTGGCCCACAGCCTAAAATATTTACTCTCTCTGACCCTTTTAGAAAACATTTGGCAGGGGCGCCTGGGTGGCTCAGTCGGTTAAGCGTCTGCCTTCGGCTCAAGGTCATGATCCCAGGGTCCTGGGATCAAGTCCTGCATTGGGCTCCCTGCTCCGTGAGAAGCCTGCTTCTCCCTCTCCGACTCCTCCTGCTTGTGTTCCCTCTCTCACTGTGTCTCTCTCTGTCAAATAAATAAATCTTAAAAAAAAAAAAACAAAAAACCATTTGGGAGCTCATAGAAGGTTGACCAGACCAACACCTCGTATTTATCATTGACCTAACGCGTGACTTAAAATGTCACATTCAGAACTTGGTATAACTTAATGTATCGGACTTAATCTCATAACTGCCTTCATTGCTATTTTTTGGCATAATATTCCTTTTTTCCTATTTTTGTCCTACTTCCTGTTCTTTCTTGGATATACAACTGTTTTAAAGTTAGCATTGCTAAGTTAAATTTTATTACATTAAAAAAATTTTTTAAAATTACTTTTCAAATTGAGTTTCATTAAATCTGACTTAAAATGGTATGTGGTTAAAATGTACTTTATTCAATTTTTATTTTTAGCTATAGTTTTTTTTTTTTTTTTTAGCTATTATGTTTGGTCTTGTTTGTATTGGTAATGATTGAGCTTACACTCAAAATCTCCTGTATAGGATCCTGTGGGTACTGGAGACCTTGGTAGTTTATTTATTCTACTTTTAAAAAACTAAAATACCCATTTAGGAAATTTTTAGCTAGGTAAATGTTGGTAGAAAATATATTTTGGGGGCGGCTGGGTGGCTCAGTTGGTTTTAAGCATCTGCCTTCGGCTGAGGTCATGATCCCAGAGTCCTGGGATTGAGTCCCGCATTGGCTCTCTGCTCAGTGGGGAGTCTGCTTTTCCTTTTGCTCCCCGCTCACTCGTGCACTCGCTCATATATTCTCACACACACGTGCGCAAAAATAAATAAAATCTTGAAAAAAAATATATTTTGGGATAAAAGGCTGAATGTTACCTACATTAAAGTAAATTGGTGAAAGGTGGGTGTAGTACTTCCTTCTGCCTAAAATGCCTTCTTTTTTTTTTTTTTTTTAAGATTTTATTTATTTATTTGACAGAGACACGGCGAGAGCAAGAACATAAGCAGGGGGAGTGGGAGAGGGGGAAGCAGGCTTCCCACAGAGCAGGGAGCCCTATGCGGGACTCGATCCCAGGACTCCGGGATCATGACCTGAGCCAAAGGCAGACGCTTAACCAACTGAGCCACCCTGGTGCCGCTAAAATGCCCTTTCTTTCTTTTTGTCTAATTCTTACTTAGGTTTTAATGCTCATCTCTGTTGTTACCTGCTATGTGAAGCCTTCTTTTTTTAATTTTTTTTAGCCAACAAATATTTATAGACCATCTAACATGAACCTGACACTCTGCTAGGAGTTAGTGATCATCCAGCAGTGATAAAACAGACATGCAGCCTGTCTTTATGGAGCTTATGGTGGCAAGGAGGCAGAATTATCCATGTTTTCATGGTGTCATGTCTCCTTGTCCATTTATATGCATTTTGCTCTCATATTTTATCACACTCTGGTATAGTTATGGTTTATGTAATTCTGCTAGAATATAAATTTTTCCTGGTTAGAGTGTATTATACATTTTTGGTTTTTTAAAAAATTTTTAAAAATTTTTTTAAAAGATTTTATTTATTTATTTGAGAGAGAGAGAGACAGCGAGAGAGGGAACACAAGCAGGGGGAGTGGGAGAGGAAGAAGCAGGCTTCCTGCCGAGCGGGGAGCCCGATGCGGGGCTCGATCCCAGGACACCGGGATCATGACCTGAGCCGAAGGCAGACGCTTAACGACTGAGCCACCCAGGCACCGCATAGAGTGTATTATACATTTT